CGAAAATTATTCACGCTAGAGTCACAAAACGCTCCCTGAACGCGCCATATCCGCCGAGCATGCGCACTCATTCCGCCGCTGTACAGTATCGTTTTGTACCATAAATTCAGTGCTTATGAAATATATCCATATCATAACTCAATCAGGTAAAAGATGTGAGTTCTGGAATCTTTAATTCCTTGACAGACCACCCTTGATTATCACTCAAAGCAATGGACTGATGAAAATGAGACAATTCTTGAACACTTCCCTCTCAAAGATCTGTCTCGGCATATAGATCGACCCACATCTCAGGTTCATTGTCACCATCAAGCACACCAACTCTATTTACTGGGTCGTGACTCGAGAAAGTCGCTTATTGGTTTACAAGCATCTTTGTGTATTACTGTGGTAAGGAAGGATTCAGTGCTGAATGCTTTTATAGGAGAAATGCTCAAGCAAGAATTTCATGGTCGCTGACAATGAAGATGACTGCTTCTCATGCGATTCTGGAATCAGATTTGGTATTAACTGTTTTCCGGACGATAGTATCAAGTGTGGAAATTTTGCCTCAACAGATAATGGCGGAGCAAACATCAGAGCAATGGGCTTCATATAAATACAGTGACTGAAAAGTGCTCAGATGCCTTTAAAGCTTGAACTATGAAAGCCATTTCCCACTGCAAAGAACAGTGTGCTCTCTCATGGTGATTTGATTCCACCCATCTGCATTTATCTGATTCCACCTATATATAGTAATTAATCTTATCTTTTTCACCCCAAGCTAACTAACTGTCATGACGTCTATCAGACAAACACACAGGCATGAAAAGTCCTTCTGATTGTCTCTAGTATTAAGCCCAGCCACTGATTTTACCTGTTCTCTCCATGGCATGCCCGTAACTTGATTAGGCAAAAAATTGTTTCCTTCCGTTACGGAAGAAAATAATATTCAATCAAGTAACAATATTTAAGAAAAAAAGAACCACTTTTCATGACTCTTTCGCCTATTTATTTTCAGGAAATTTCAAAAAATTCTTTTCAAAATTTTCAAAGAGAATGTTCTTTGAACAACGAAAAATTTCAGAAGCTCTTATCCTAACGCGCTCAACGTAAGCACAGTTTCATTCGTTCTTTATTAGCTCACTCAACGGAATACGCAGCTATTGAAGTCGTACTGAGTCTCAAATTCAAAGAGACATAGTAGAGTGCGCCTAGTTCACCCAGAATGTGGATTTTCGAAGGGTGCTCCTATGACCAAAACAATTTCTGCAAGGAAAATTTCGTTTGAGTCAGTTTTACAGCAAGCGCAGTGATTAAAAATTTGGCCTTGTAGGAGCCTCTTGTAAGGCGTCCAACAATGAGCTGTCATTTGGATTCAAGAGGAATCCTCTTTCCGTGGTAAACCTCCACATTTCGCTGAATGGCTGAAGCCACGTAGACCTAATTGGAGGATGCATAATTACATTTTCCACCAATACCATAGTTTACTGGGAGACAGGAGAGACAAAACAGATGTAATACAACTGCGATAGCTTATAAATTACCTTACCAGTTCCTGACAAGTGGTAGATACTGTGAAAGATACAATTCTATCATTCGTTTTGGAATAGCAATCCACACTTCATTCAAAGCATTTGCCATGGCAATAATAGTAAGATGCACGCATCGTTCAGTTTTGATGGTTGTCACAGGAAAGACTTGATCCGTGCGAGTCTGTAAAGTGAACAAAAAGTTTTTTTTAAGTCAAACAATTGTGCAAGAGAGAGATTTCCTGAGATGTCCTATGGAATAAAGAAAACTTAGAAGATTTGATGTCTTAGCTTAATCATCTTTTGCTAGAGTTTTTCAACTGAGTATCTCACCAAAACCAAATGAATCACAACAACCAATCAGAACACAGGTTAACCCTTTAATTAAGATCCCATATCAACATGTATATTCCTGTCACTGTTCTCTGTATGTTTCTTATTTTACTGATTGAGAGAATTTGTTCAAACATCAAGACAATTCATCTTTGGTGATCATTTCATTTATTCTCATGATCTATACATTTGATCAGGTAGTAATATTGTTGGGAGAAATTAGATGCTGGTCACTATTGGGGCTTAATGGGTTAACATCACCATTACCCAATGAGAACTCAGAGTAACACAAGCAATCTCCTTGAAGTGTGGGAAAGTGCAAGTTACCAAGTTGGGATTGATTTAAGTTTTGCATCTGATTGGTTGCATCTAAAGGAGGGGGGGAAGGAATGAGTCAGCTATGAAGGAGATTTTAAATGTGTGTATTAAAACAACATTTCCCCTTGATTTGGTTCAACCATGCTTTTATTTTATATAGTAAATAATAGCATGAAAGGTGGATTTCATTAACATACCTCAATATTCTCTCGATATGCATTTTTTAAAATGTTTGAATACACTAGGCCAGGGCATATCATTGTGACACCAACATTCTTTTCATGGAAGTTTCATGTTAATCACTTCATTCACTTTCCAGAAGTCCTCGAAAAACTTGTTAGTTTGTCCCAAGTGTAATTCTTATTACATGGTTGACCTTCCAACCTTTTTATTTATTTATTTATTTTTTGTACTGAACAGAAGATAGGAATGATTCAAACTCAGCGTGCTTCGAGTTTCATTAAGAACTTGCTCATATCAGCCCAAGTCTATGAGTAGCCAAACTTGATCAGAATATGTCCAAAGACATATTAAATATTTCTTTAAGAAGTCATGAAAAGTGGACACAATACCTGCCTGTAATGCTTTAGTGTATTTGGTCCTGCTACTGCAAAATGAATACCAGCTAATTAATATCATGCTTGTCTTGAGGCATTCATCAAATATAAAAAGAAAAATGTGTTACCATGATAGTACCTTGTGCAAATAATATAACATGCTAGAAATGGCATGTATCTTATACTTAAAAGGGTGAAAGGCTTGGCCTGCAACTTATACATGTAGTGCATACAGGGAAGATGAAGTTCATTAGATATTCATGATTTCTCTACTCAACAAATGACAGGTTCAGGGAATTATTTTCCAGTAAAATGGGATGGCTTAAAACAACTGTCAACTACATAAAACACAAACTGAGTCAAAAGGGACCTCAAAGCCCAAAAGTAAAAAGTGATCTTAGCCATGTGTCAAACAAAGTTACATGTGCTACGTGTTCTCTGTTCTTCAATAAAAAATTTTTGCTTGCAGAGATATTCTCGTAGGACTACAAAATTTTCTGTTTCCCTTTGGAGTGCAAATCCTTAAATTTTGTTTTGCTTACTCAGGGAATTCACTTTTCTGGATAAACACATGCAATCTTTCAGCTTTTATGTTAAAATTTAACCCTTTAACTCCCATAAGTGACCAAGACAGAATTTCTCCTTACAATATCAATACAATATCAACCAGATAAGTGCTGATAATTCATTGATCCAATACTAAATTCTCTGAACTAACATTATAAGAATCATATGGTTGACAATAAGAAATATTACAAATTTGAGCTGACAGTTAACACCCATGTTGATAATCTAGGTACATAAGGAAGAATATGTATAAATTTTCCATGAACTCCACCCATGCTTGACTCAAAATGTGTATCTGTGCTTAAGGTGGTATCGTATGAGGGCTGAGAAAAGGTAAAGCCTGCATTAATGCTTTAATGCAAAATTTTCAGCATGTGTGGCTGCTCTTTTCTCATGAAAAGTCCCCTCTCTCCCTTCCCTCCCTTCAGAATGATATATTTAATTCTTCATTACGTTTATGTTGTAATGCAGAATTTTCAGCATGATGTTTATTTTACTCCAACCCACCCCCCCCCTCCTCTTTGCCCCTCTCTTGAGTTGGATATTAAACTTACCACATTTCCCAAAGGCACTACTTATTACAACAATTTGACCATTTCCTTCTCCAATCATGTGAGGCAGAACAGCTTTGGTAAGAGAGATTGTCCCTAGTACATTTGTGTTCAAGACTGAAATATCTACATCAAGATCACTATCCACTGATGAACCCATCTGTAAAATTCCTGCATTATTCACTAGAAAATCAATCTGCAATTAGGAATACATAGTACATGAGCAGAACACATCAAAGCAGAGATCATGAACTTGCCAAACTGTTGAAGAGCTTTGGTAACGCAGTCTTCGTGCGAAGCGAAATTTGTAATATCCAATGGCACAACAAGAAAATCTTCCTCAAATGTTAATGGAAAAAGCTTTCCTGCCAAGCCTATGTGGCAAGAAAACAAAGACTATTATATATAGTTGTAATATATAGTTGAACTTCAATTATTTTTTGGATCAACTGCAGAATACCCTGCCACTTTGGTCCACCTCATTTACATGTGTCGGGAGGTTTTGAAGATCGAGGCATAACACAATAAACATATTCAACGACATGTAAGTGAGTCGCCTTATTTTGGTTTGAAAGTTTTTTGAAACTGTTTTGAGAAATTAATTGAAGTAAAAAGATTCTTAAGCTCCCGTCCCCCTACGCGACTACTTTCCCCCACCTCGTGTAGAATGAAGTTTGAACTAAAATAACTTGGAGCAAAACTTACTCAAGCACTGATTTTTCACTCTGTCTAATTCGTCTTTTCTCCTCGCTGATAGCACCAGTTTGCAGCCAAATTCAGTTAGCTTGTACGGTAAATGTTCGCCGATTCCGCTCGATGCACCAGTAATCCAAATCACTCTACCTCGTAGTCTTTTATCCGGTGGCTTTGCAAATCTCTCGCAGAAATGTAGTACTGCATCGCAGTCGGAAAAATAAATTCTCAAGATGTGCAAGACGAAAAACAGAAAAACACATATCTCGAGGACACCTATCATTTTCGATAAGATATTGGTTAAGGGTGAACAGCGAGGCAGGTTTCGTGGACACTAATGACTGACCAAATGGGAGACCTGGGTCTAAAAGACAGCAGAACCACAGGGCACCCAGGTGTTGAAGTAAGGAAGTAAGAGCAACAGAATGACTTTACCAAAGTAAGTCTCTTGACGGCATGACTTGTATTTTTCTAACTTCTTGAAATGTCTGGTCACTTGCCCTTATTTTTACGAACGTTTCGATTGTTTCCTATAGCTTTGCGCGACAACTGTTTTCCTTTGAAATGTTTCACAGGAAATTGACGGAGTCGGCCAAAAATGATTCACTTGGGCATGCTCCACGTTTGACCGCTGTGTTGCTGTGTTGTGGTCTCGTTAAAAAATTTGCCCTCAGGAGCTACGAAATTTACTCAAAGAATTGCAGAAGTTGCATTCGGATTGAGCTTGTTTAATTTTGGAACAACAAAACACCAAACAAAGCACGAACAACTGGCTATCACCATGCAACGTCAATCATCTTCAATTTCTTAGTCGGCATAACAAAAAAAGTCTACCTGTAGGGTCTGTTTTAAAAGAACGAAGAGCAAATATCGAAAAAATATCAAACTAGAAGTTCAGTTATTAGTCTCCTGGAGGTACGTTTCACATCTTGAACGCAAAAGTTAAATCTGAATTTTAAAAGTATAGAAAACCGTTTTAAGTTTGATGTCAAACGTTACATCGAAATTTAAGAAACACAAGCTGTTGAATATAGTCGGGTAATTATAACATATATCTGATATATTTTATTAATTACCTCTTATACTTCAATTGGTCTCTATTATCAATGCAAGGATACACGCGGAGACACTCTCAAAATGTATTTTTTTTTAAGAGAATACTTTGTTGGTTGATTTTTGCAACGATTCCCAACATTCACAACATGGGAGAGGGAAGAACCCGGGAATAAAAAGGTAACAGAAATCATAACAAAGAAGGAGAATAGTTCGAGACAAATAAGATTTTCACTGTGAGACATGAAATTGGTCAACAGAAGACCGCAGATGTCCTTGAGACAAACATGTTTTACAGTACTCGGAAGACAAAGAGAAAGTTAATATCTAAGTTTACAGCTATCTGACAGAAAATGTTTTCGTGTAATGCCGAAACTGTGCAATTTGAATTGCTATATACAGTCGAACCTCGATTTAACGAAATGCCGAGGGACTGGCAAAACTGGTTCGTTATATCGAGGGTTCGTTATATCGAAAACTTCGATTCAACGAATTTGCGTAAAAACAACCAAATTGTTCGTTATATCGACGACTGGATGACAATTTTTTTCTATTTTTTTAAATCATTAAAATTTTTTTGTGGTGTGCTGTTACGCTACTCAGCATTTTTGTAATAGTCTTCAGACGCTATTGTGTAAAGATAAGGTTTTCGTGCACGACTGAACTCTCGCAGAAGGCACAACAACAATGGGGGAAAAATAGCTCTGTAGAGACAACTCGGCAGTGAGAACGGAAACTCGTCACGATTTCCTAGTACACAGCGATCTACTTCAAGCGAGCTTTTACGGACGTCAAGGATAAGACAGCGTTTTAGTTCCACGGTAGACTTTTTTACTAAGTCAGGCTAACAACTGACATGACCTTTAGTATACTCAACTTCGTAATCAATGTAATCGGCACGCAGTCGTCTATGTAATCGAAAAAGCTTTACAATGTACTTGCTTAAGTATGAACTGGTGTGAGAATTGTCAAATTAAGGAAGAGGATTCAATAAACTCTAGGCCATTAAAAGTAGGAAACTGAGGTGAGAATTCACAGCTCTGATACTGAAAATATACCTCTCTTAATTAAAGTAGAACAGCTTAGGAAATAAAAGTGGAAAAGCAGTTAAAAATTTCTGCTTATCTATGCAATTTCCGCTTATCTATGCAAAGTTGGTGTGGGAAATTATCGTACCAAAGGAAACTGAAATTACGAGCAAAAACTCAGCTGCCAACTACCATGGAAAATAATTTTTTCAGAAAGACCATTAAAAATTATATTTACCTAAAAATTTCACAGACAGTGGTCAACAAAAGTACCGACATGTAGCTGTAAAATGAAAGCAAGCAACAAAACAAGAATCTCTTAGTTTACTACTCAAAAACCACTGTGGCTTTTTATATATTTTTTGATTTACTTAGACTGAAAGAACTTGAATGAACTCGAATAAAATAAAAATGGTTGAGTATGAAAAGTTTACGAATAAATATATTCCAAACTACCATATAGAAAAATCAATATATTTTCCCGTAATAATCGAGATGGTAAGTTCTTATCTTGAATTATTTCAGTACTTCATATGCGTGATAAGGGTAAATTTTGAAGGCTCGTTGATTAAAATTTAAAGGTTTGGTAACATCACGTTCAGGCTTCATGGCTTCGTTCTGATTGGTTAATTTGGTTGGGGCAGATGTTAGCCAAACTCAGAATGCTTATGTACTTTAAACAGTAGGATGTGACTCCGCTCCAAAAAATGGGAAAAACAAATTTAAAGAGTCGATGTTATTTCAAAATTTATCCTCGGGTCAAGTAAATGGAAAAGTTAATTATCCGGCTAAGTAAACTGACTTTATTGTGGTTTGATAAACAGGTACTCACCGTCCATCAACTTTCTGTGGTTGGTTGATTGCACTGCGATCAAAGAACTGTTTAATTATCCTGCATCATTGCTGAAAATGAAACACCATTTTGAGTTAGCTCGCATGTTATCGTTTTTCCTCTGGGGAAGTTATCTTTTCCACTGTACCACTGCTTCAGAAGGTAAATAACCTAATGCAAGTGTCTACGAAGTTTTCGGGCTAAATTTGCTTTAATTATCAATCTTGGTCACTTGATAAATTCTCGAGGTTTTGAGAGGATAGACAACCTTTCCCTTCAATATCTCAAGTATTTGTATCTGAAGATGTTAATTAAGCACCTGTTCTTCCAGGGGCTGGATTTTTCTGAACGTAAGATATTTATTTTGTCGTTAGAAGACGTATTTGTGCTTATTTTTTTACTACTGGATAAACTTTTAGAATGCGAATACACGTACCCTCTTGGCATGGAAAACGGTGCAATATCTGACAGTCAAATTAGCGCCTCTTCCCAATGGAGCAGTAGTCTTAGCCCCAAAAATGGCAGACTACATCATGAACAAGGCCCCGAAAAAGGAGGATCCTGGTCAGCGAGGACAAAAGATGATAAACAGTGGCTGCAGATTGATCTGAGAGATCAACAGACCAAAGTTACTCGCGTAGGAACGCAGGGAAGGAGTAGAAATCATCAGAGGGTTACAAAGTACAAACTGCAGTATGGTAATGATGAAGGAAGCTTGCAATATTTCAAGGAAGAAGGACAAAGTGCTGATAAAGTAGGATTGCAAATTTCATACGAATGTTCTCGTATACCTCCATACATTTGTTCGTGCATGCATTTTTTCGTCAGAATAATTAAAATAATTTTAAAATGTGTTTAAAAAGAAAGAGTATCAAGTGGACCACATGTACATAAGGTTTTGATATCCTTAGCAAGATCAGTTGGAAACATAAATGAACCGAACGTACTTGACAGCTTAACTAGGGGAAAAGCTCTCAGAAAAGAGAATTAATTCCTCTTGTCAACCCCTTAACACCCAGAAGTGATCAACACTTAACTTCTCTCCTTAATATCCATACATTATCCATCAAGCAGTTCAAGAGAATACTCAGACAAACTTATCAGATATGAGTTGTTATCATGATATGACACCAAATTCTCATAACTGTTATTTACATGGAAATGTATTGCAGCTATTAGGGAGAATCACCAATCAGATCTTGGGAGTTAAAGTGTTGATCAAAACTGGCAGGTCTAAGCTGCCAATTCTTGAATTTTATCCACTATCATTATTAATTCTTAATTTATCCTATTAAGGAGTTTAATGGAAACACGGACAAAGACACCGTTGTGGTAAACGTTTTAAACCCACCAATCACTGCGCGCTACATTCGTTTCCGACCGGTAGCTTGGAAAAACCATATTTCAATGAGAGCAGAGCTGTACGGCTGTCATAGAGGTAAACGAGGTAAGTACTAAAAAAAAGAACGACCTAAAACCACCTAAAACCACCTACAACCACCTACAACCATCTACAACCACCTCAAAAATTTCAACAACCACCTACAACCACCTCAAAAACATCTACAACCACTCGCAAACTATCTAAAACCATCTAAAACAAGGCATAAATGTTAAAGAACTTTACTCCTATCGTTGCTTTAATATCACTATTTATCCCACTTCTTTGCAGATTCCTGCCGATCTCTGAAATTCACCCCATCAATAGATGGCCGCGCCCTCGTGGGTCACGTGATTAAAAACATTACTTTGCACGTGGGTATGCGTCATACCTGTAGAGGAAAGTGTGTAATTGATAATAGCTGCGCATCATTTAACATCGGTCCATCAATAAACGATCAAGTGCTATGTCAGTTGAGCGATTCTGATCACGTCAGACATCCTGAAGATCTGAAACCACGAGATGGGTTTACCTACACTGGTACTGAGGTAAGATTACCCAAAAAATCACGTATACCTCCATGTAATTCTGCAGATTGTCTGATGACAGAGCTGAGAAAGAGGATCACTTGTCGAAAACTTTTGTTGGATCACGGAGAGAGACAAAAGCATCCAAACTTAAACAACAGCGAAGTTTTCCGCCCTGGGTAAGAGGTTACTGGTGTGGTCAAGGTTACAAATTAAGTTACAGAGCTTTTCACCCCGAAAGGCAGCCATGTTGATACTCTGCTGCGAAGTAACGTACACAAATGTAGTTCGATCCCAAAAATGTACCAACTTCAGTCCTCACACTTTGGTGAAAAGCTTAGACCCCCCTTTTTTTCCTCTGTTAACTGAAATTACATGGATGGTCATCAGCGTTAAGTTTTAATCGTTTTGAAAGCATCTGGATTGATTTATCAACAGGATAACAAGAGTTAATTTTAGAAGATAGCTCACGCTGGTACTTCAAGTAATCAATGAAACCATCTAGGTGGAGGGGTTGTGATGTAACTTTTTTCCCATCATCGGTTTTATAAAGAGCTTAAGATAATTTATCCTTCACCTTTTTTGTACCTATCAGAGCCCTTGCTCCAGTGATCCTTGCATGTTTAATGGGACGTGCCTGAGGGGATTTACATACAAAAAATACCTCTGTGTGTGTCAAGATGGTTATTGGGGAGAAAACTGTGAAAGAGGTGAGGCGTACTGCGCATGCTACACAAGACTCAGTTTTGTTCGACACAATGGCGAAATAAGTGAGCATGCTTGTAACGCGCGAGAAATTTTACGTGTGCAAAGGAATGGAAATGAGAGTATTTCTTCAGTAACAGTATTGCGGAAAAATGACGGCATTTTAAAAATTTCCATTGTTTGCTTTCATTTTGCAAAACAGATAAGATCTTTGGAAACTTCCCAGTCACATATCTCACTCAACAGAAAAAAATTTTGCTGTCACAGATGTGAATTTATGGACTAAGTAGAGCATCCGTAACACGGTAACGAATTTTGTAGCGACTGCTATTGCCTTTGCTTTCTGGCTAAATTTAAAACTGCTTACGATGACCTTTAATTTAAAAAATGCTTCCTAACCTTCAGACTTTTCCATAAGAGCAACCTCCATTAATTGTTTACTTGTTTCACATTAATTACTATCCAAAAAAGTGTGAAACGATTTTCTGTTCGTTCATCAACGAAAATCATTCACGCTAGAGTCACAAAACGCTCCCTGAACGCGCCATATCCGCCGAGCATGCGCACTCATTCCGCCGCTGTACAATATCGTTTTGTACCATATATTCAGTGCTTATGAAATATATCCTAATCATAACTCAATCAGGTAAAAGATATGAGTTCCGGAATGTTTAATTCCTTGACAGACCACCCTTGATTATCACTCAAAGCATTGGACTGATGAAAATGAGACAATTCTTGAACACTTCCTTCTCAAAGATCTGTCTTGGTATATAGATCGACCCACAGCTCAGGTTCATTGTCACCATCAAGCACACCAACTCTATTTACTGGGTCGTGACTCGTGAAAGTCGCTTATTGGTTTACAAGCATCTTTGTAGTATTACTGTGGTAAGGAAGGATTCAGTGCTGAATGCTTATAGGAGAAATGCTCAAGCAAGAATTTCATGGTCGCTGACAATGAAGATGACTGCTTCTTATGTGATTCTAGAATCAGATTTTGTATTAACTGTTTTCCGAACGATAGTATCAAGTGTGGAAATTTTTCCTCAACAGATAATGGCGAAGCGAACATCAGAGCAATGGGCTTCATATAAATGCAGTGACTGAAAAGTGCTCAGATGCCTTTAAAGCTTCTACTATGAAAGCCATTTCCCACTGCAAAGAACAGTGTGCTCTCTCATGGTGATTTGATTCCACCCATCTGCATTTATCTGATTCCACCTATATATAGCAATTGATCTTATCTTTTTCACCCCAAGCTAACTAACTGTCATGACGTCTATCAGACAAACAGACAGGCATGAAAAGTCCTTCTGATTGTCTCTAGTATTAAGCCCACCCACTGATTTTACCTGTTCTCTCCACGGCATACCCGTAACTTGATTAGGCAAAAAATTGTTTCCTTCCGTTACGGAAGAAAATAATATTCAACCAAGTAACCATATAAAAACCACTTTTTATGACTCTTTCGCCTTTTTATTTTCAGCAAATTTCATAAATTCTTATCAAAATTTTAAAGGAGAATATTCCTTGAACAACGAAGAATTTCAGAAGCTCTTATCCTAACGCGCTCAACGTAAGCACAGTTTAATTCGATCCTTATTCGATCGCTCAACAGACTACACAGCTATTCAGGTCGTACTGAGTCTCAAATTCAAAGAGACACAGTGGAGTGCGCCTAGTTCACCCAGAATGTGGCTTTTCGAAGGGGTGCTCCTACGAACAAAACAATTTCTGCAATGAAAATTTCGTTTTAGTCAGTTTTTACAGCAAGCGCAGCGATTGAAAATTTGGCCTTGTAAGAGCCTCTTGTAGGGCGTCCAACGATGAGCTGCCATTTGGATTCAAGAGGAATCCTCTTTCCGTGATAAACCTCCACATTTCGCTGAATGGCTGAAGCCACGTAGACGAAGGACTGCAGATGACATGTGTCGCTAACAAGTTTCAATATTCTGATAAGCGATAGCGGCTGGGTTCACTGGTCGTTCGACATAGAATTGTCTAACTAAGCAAACAAGTTCTTCATAATTTCCCTCCTCTTTTTCAACTGTTTCTGAAGGTACACCTTCTAAGTTTTCTTTGTTTTCGGTAGCAACATCACTATTTTTTCCTTCTTCATTCCTATGAATTTTGCTTTGTGTAAAATGCGTGCTTTCTTGGTCCCTGCAAAAAAATCGTGTTCCGCTGTAAGCTTATGTGTACAAAATTCTGGGAATCAACGTTGTAACCGCCTCTATCCTTCCTCTTTCAAGAATTATGTGAACGCAATAAGGCGAAAGAGTTAGCCTTTGAATTATTTTCGCAATCCTAATGAATATCATGATCTGTATACTCAATTTAGTTAATAAAACTGAAGGAAGAGAGAAAAAAGGATAAATGAACATCTATCAAGTATGGTGAATTTGAGGGACCAAGGAGCAGGAAGCAAGCCACCGCGGTACAAGCTAAACATAGCATACTTAGGGGGAAAACTCAGGGGCTCCGTTAGAGAATTGTCTAGGGAAGTCTGGGATGGGACTTTTATGGACGAAATACAGTAGTGGCTAATATAACTGTATAAATTCTCCATTTTACTCTAGATTAACTGAACAAAATTTTTCAACTTACGTTTTTTGTCCGCTGCAAAGAGATGCTCTGTGTAATTCTGCTTGATTGATATACTTGCCTTCATCAGTACCTGAAATGAAAAGCACATGTACACTACTAAATTAAAAAGCTTGACGTTTTCTGCAAGTGCTGTCAATTCGCAGTCTTGTCAGTTCTGATTTAGGCAGAGACAGAAGTCTTCTCTAGGTTGTAATTCCGAATATTTTACCACACTCAAAGCTCTTATGTCTGAGGTTTTTTTATTCTCTTTGAAATTTGGTCTGGCTTTAAAGCTATTTTTTTTCTTAATTCATGTGTTTAATTCTGATGTATTGGCAGCCAATTTTCCTAATCATTCTTCTGTGCAAAAATCACACTTTCACTAATTACATGTAAAGGCGAGAAGCGTTGAATATGTCGGGTATGTCAAATTTCGAGATCAAAACCGTAATGGTCAATTCAAATTTCTTTGTGGTCCTATGGCAAGAAATTGCGTTCTCTTTGTAGGTTCCATTACCTTAACTATGAAAATCAGCACTTAAAATGAGAATTATTTGTGAGCAACCAATATATGCAGTTTCATTTTTGAATCGTAATTTCGAGCTTGTCGATGATAATTATGGCTTCTTAATTTTTCAAAGTTTGTTACAGGTTAAAGGGATAAAATACAACGAGACCTCTGGATTAAATTGTTTTGGCGCAAACATGAGGATTGAATACTGTTATTGGTCATGGGTGGGAAGCATAAGAGCTGCCTAATCTTGGGTTCCAGTTTGAGTTGATATATATTCAAATCAGTTGTCTATTCCGTTTCGACATGAAGACTGCAAGCTTTTGATAAGTCACAGTTCATTTGAACAAAATTTAATCGACATTTGAAATCTTAAAAGGCTTTTTACACATTACAGAAGCCTATGTAAGATCAAACAGCTCGCTGCTTACACCATACGAGGGTAAGAATTTAATGCGAGTAAGCTTCTCGTCGAGTTGTTATCATGTTATATAATGAGAAAAATGAAAGAGATTCTGTGAGGTTACGAAGGCTTATCTGAGGAAAGTTAGATTGCTTCTGAGACTGCAAGATGGCAAGGTTTGGAAATGCAGTATTTCTTAAGGGTTGAGTTCAAATCCGTACATAAATAGCCATAAAACAGAAGACTAAAGAGACGAGGAGGTGAACTAACACAGTTCGCGTTCCTTTGATTTGCATTGCGCGTAAATTTGATATACAGACTTGTTAAAATTTTCGCGAACGAAAGCTGAAATTACATTTAAAAACAGGCGCAATTGCTCTCTAAGATCAAGTTTCGTTTTTAAGTATTTTGGAGGTGCATCGACACAGACTCAAGCAATATTTACTCAGTCTCAGACGGTGGTTGGCAAGTTTCCGCTTGTTTTCTTTAAAAATTATCGCCTGATCAAACACCCGCAACGTCTCTTTTTCACGAATTTCTTCCCTTGTGTCCTTATGCTAATTTATCCCCTACGCATTTGTATGTTAAATGGTTTTCATTCAAAGGATTCTCCTCGAGAAAAGACAATGACGGAGAGTTCATCTGTAACATAACAGGTGGAACTGTCACCTATAGCTATACAGACGATTCTGGTTTAAAGAATTCACTAGCTTTTTCACACGGAATAGCTGACGGAAACTGCAGAGATAAGAATGGTTACCTTCTAAAGATGGCGATTCAGTGGAGCGTGGAGTGATTTGTGTCAATAGTGGAGCGTTATCTGTGTTTTCCTGTGGTGATCTTTCACGACTAGAATTTCCATTCTCGGCAGTAAACTCGATATCTATCAATTTATTATACGCCGCTTCCACAGTTCCTCTGTTTTCAACCGGGCTCTCTTCGGCCATGCTGTCGCTGCAAGTAATTGCAACTCTTCTCGAGCTAAACAGCGGAAAAGAAAATTTCTACGGAATATACTTCAACAATATTCCAAATAATTATGCGGTTGCCCTAGAGCTTTGTCACAAACCACTCGATCTTTCGTCTCAAAATTCATTCGGCCGTTTCGAGTCAAGCCACAACAGCCATTTTCATTGGTCTAGATGAAATTGTCACGTTATGAATTATTCAAAAACGACAGGTGTTTAGGATTTTAGTCACTAAATTTGACATTTTTATCATCGAATAATTGCAAAACACATCAACCTCACAGCCTCGGCGCTCGGCAAGGTGCCCTTCATATGAAATAAAACAAACACCGTGGTTACAGTTTCTCTCGAAGGACTCAAATGCATTTCATAAGAATCTGATATTTTGACAATGAAAACGCTCTACTAAAGCGGATATTTAATCCATTGATAGCTTTAGGTAACATGTTATGGTAAATAGCATAAAAAATTCTGAAACACTTTGAATAATTTTTCAGCGGAAGCGTCTTAAGCTTAAATTTATGCCAAATTTCAAATGGTCTCTAAACTTTGAGAGCGAGACTTTATTTTATCAATAGATATTCTTTACACCACAATATGAAAAGATCGAGGACTGCAAATTTATCTGTGGTCTTGCTACGTTTTTAACACGATGCATTTCCATCGATTGAAGGAATTTTTATACCAAGGCGCTGAGGCCATGGAAACAAACGGCTTCAACAAATATTCAAACGATTAACATCGATTTCATTATAGAATAAAACAGGATTGACGGAAAAAAATGTGAATTTAAACAAAGAAAAATAACTTTTAAAGACAAACATACTATGAGGAAATTTATTCTCTTTTTAAAAACGTTTACTTCTGGGTATGCATATGTATCTAAAATCACTGAGGAAACCTGGTGCAGAGTAATCAGTTATCCTGCTGAGTGAGAGAGGTCTGAGTGCGACACGGTGGTCAAACGTGGGCATGCGCTGCTGAACCAATTTTGGGCCAGGCGCATGCCAATTTCCAGCATAAAATCTTCAATGACGACCAGGACACGCGTGATTTCCAAATAAAAAAGTTTTTAAACATCGAAGGAATTTGTTAAAGCAAGAAAGGCAGAAGAAAGGACTAACGAATTCTCGGGCACTGACTTTATCCAGTTACTATTGCTACGTTTTTAAAGCATGTGACTTATTAACTAGTGAGATTGTTTTTAACTCGTTGATTATAGCTTAATTCTGACAGGTATCGGGAGGTTTCGCCCCATTTCAAGTTCACCACTACCGATTCATCTCCTTCATGATTAGTTCGTCGCATCAAATATAACAAATTCAGTTGCTCTGAATCCAAATCCCTTAGTTGAAACGGTCCGAAATGATTTTGTATGTTTTCGCAATCTCTCTTAAAAGCACCTTCGCAAACATCTCCATGCCAGTAGATTAATGTTTTTTTAAGATGGCTTTCCTGTTAGTTTTTCCTCCCTGATACCATCAGGGAATCCACGGCAAGAAGATTTCTCTACTCCTCTCCATCTCGCTTTATGATTTAAGCCATAGATGACACTGTCTCCAACTGGAGAGTTGGTGAATTGTCTTTATTCCCAATAAAAATGTTAATGAGTGACGAGTTAGGGCTTAGAGACGTTTAGGCTGCTTGGTCCCTAGCGGTGTCTTTGTCTGTAACGCCCTAAGATTTTCTGAACAGCACATATTAAGAGTAAAATTTCGCGGATCAATATCAGTATCTGGGCAACTGCCCACCTACCCTTCCCTTTACCCAACATTAACCTTAACTTGCTGTCAATTGACTGTTGTTGGGTCAGGGGAGGGGTAGGTGGGCAGTTGCCCAGATACTGATATTGATCCAATTTCGCTAACTATTAAGCACTAAATGAAAAAAAGTTGCTCTCGATCTTGCTGCGCCTTTCTTGGCCAAGAGGTATGGACGGCTGCCGCTCGAGTAAAGAGTAAGCAAACTACACTTATGCTGTTTTAATGCCTAACTACCCAGTTAGCCTTGTAAGGGAAAGTTTGGCTTCATGTGCTTTAGGAAAGATCAGTCACAAAATGACGTTAGGGATTGTGCAATGATAGACAAAAAGCTCATTTACTACTGGTTGACCCAGTAGTAACAGGGACTAAGTTTGGAGGCTCCGACCGAAGTCCTCATTTGTTTACATGGAATATTCACAGCCGTTTATTCACCACTTTACGGGTTTATTTGGAACCAACACAGTAACCAGCTCCCAGTTGGCTTGTTAGCTCAGTTGGTAAAGCACTGCACCGGTATCACAGAGGTCATGGGTTCAAATCCCGTACAGGCCTGAGGTTTTTTCAGGCCTTCTTTTCACTACTGCTTAAGTAGTGTTCATAACTGCGAAGATCGCTTTCATATTCACAGAGAGAATATTGTTCACAAATGTGTTTGAATTCTTGGAGATTCACGTAAATAAGAGTAACCCCACTGTACCATTGGGATTGAGACTGAATAGCATCAAGTGTGAAAAACATAGGTAAATATTATGGGAAAATTAAATTACCTTTCGAGATTTGTCGTTTTATAATTTATTTCTCTTTTAGGTCTTCACAATATGAGATACTGACCAAGGAATCGTACTTGAGACGAACGTCTCAACCTGTGCTGTAATTTGTGTATAAATAAACTAATTACGGCTGTTCCAAGAGATTTATCAGTAAAGAATACTTAATCTATCTCCGACAGACATTTTTCTTTCAGTTACAGGATGCGTTGAACTGTGATAACGGGCGAAGATTTCGGCGACTCAATTTCTTCTTCCTTTGCGTTTCTTCGAGGCATGATTTTTCCTCTTATGGTCCTTGTGCTTCTTTTGCTCGCTTTTCTCTGACTTGTGACCTTTGTCGTAAGTTGCAGGTGCTGCAGGGGGAACCGCCGCTGGATACGGTGCAGGAGCTGGTGCTGGATAAGGGGCCGGTGCTGGAGCTGGATACGGGGCCGGTGCTGGTGCTGGATAAGGGGCCGGTGCTGGTGCTGGATAAGGGGCCGGAACCGGTGCTGGTGCTGGATAAGGGGCCGGTGCTGGTGCTGGATAAGGGGCCGGAACCGGTGCTGGTGCTGGATAAGGGGCCGGAACCGGTGCTGGTGCTGGATAAGGGGCCGAAGCTGGTGATGGAGAGGGCTCTGGAGAAGGAGATGGAGCGGGCACTGGAGAAGGTTCTGGGGAGGGCACTGGAGAAGGTTCTGGGGAGGGCACTGGAGAAGGTTCTGGGGAGGGCACTGGTGTGGGTACTGGACTCGGCTGCAACAAAAATCCAGATTAACTATCCTTACTGCACGATGGAGGAAAGAGTTCCTCAAAGTTAAGGTGGCTATCGACTTCAAGGCTGATTTCACTGAACTGAACATTGCATACGTTTAGATACGTTCAAACACATTCAAACTGAACTGTCCTTATAGGATTCAATCATGTTGCTGGCTCGTTTAATTAACAATTGTCATTTTCAAATGCAGATGATAAATGCCACCATGGGCAGGCGAGGAATTTGAATAAACAGAGGAAAAAGAAAAAGGATTGGATTCAAATGTCGGCCTGAGATTTTTAAAGTTCATCTGACACGATTTAGCCATTAGAATGCCTTAAACTGGAAACGAGGCAACCCAGAAATAGATCACTCAAGGGGCTTCTTTGAAAATCTGTTGCAGTTTGCCTATATAAATTTACAAGTAATGCCCTAAGAGTGCTGCGGTCTTTACTTCTTTTGTAACTTAGCCAACAACTTGCAGTCAACCAGTCAACCAGTCAACCAGCTGAGATTTCATTATTTCGTACTCTAGTTTATTGGCTGGTTTTTAATATGTTGTCGGAATTTATTGTTTTAGTTCTGCTCTCCTATTGGCGTTTATCGTTTGCGTGCCATGTCCCTCCGCTACACTACAAAATTTACTACAAAATTCTCCTATTACAACAGGTTTAAAGTTCAAAATTCTGAAAAAACAAATTAACTTAAACTAGATGAGCTAAGCACATCGAAGAAAAATACCCTACCTGTGGTGCTGGTGTCGGATGAGGAGTTGGATATGGGTTAGGGTGGGGGTAAGGAGAGGGGTACGGAGATGGATAGGGATAGGGAGAGGGGTACGGAGATGGATAGGGATACGGGTACGGGTAAGGAGAAGGATATGGGCTCGGGTATCGCGCGGGATATGGGTACCCAGTAGGAATCGGATATTGTCCAGGCTGGAATTGATAGGGATGCAGAGCCTTTACGGGGTAGGGATATGGTTCGGGGGCTGGCCTGACTCCATGGTACTTCTCGCAACTATGAGGACATTCTCTCCTTATGTCAGAGTCAGTTTTACAGTAGCCATATTCTCCCCATATTGGGCAAACGGGATGTTTGTCCATTTTTCCAAACCCAGACTCTGAAAGAAAGAAGGTTTAACAGGTTTTAAGCTTCTTATTTCCTGGTTTTTAAAAGGTATTTGACGTATATCTTTCTTCAGTTTCTCTCCTTCGAGGCTCTAAAAAAAGCTCATTACAACTTTAAATCAAACATGGAATAATACAAGCCTGTGACTTTTCATTTGAGCTAATAATCCCAATCAATATACAAAAGCTTAATTGAACTCCCACCTTAAGAGTAGAAGTATAGTCGCATTACAAAGGCAATGTCAAACGTATGAGATAGATAACAAATCGCTACCCGAAAAAACTACTCCCTGCGCTGTGGAATAGAATATTGCCTGTAGTATTTGAAATTCAGCCTCACGAAAATGGAGTCGAAGAGTGATTTACCATACTTTATCACTTCCTTAGTTTTTTTTTATCATGGGTGCCAGATTTTCCTACCTGGGCCGCAGAATTGGCAGGAAAGTTTACATCTTTGCATCATGTAATCAGGAAGTAGCTGACATTCGCGTCTGCGGACCCCTACGTCACAATTTTCATCAAGATCCTCGCATTTCTCAGTGGCTCCTAACAAAAAATGAAGAAGTTATTGTTTTTCTTGATTGATTAAAATATACCAGGCAAAAAACAACAGAGATAGTAAGTGAAGTTCTTTTTTCAACCACTCGTCTATTCATGGCTTTGTCCACAGCCCTGTTTTACTGATTCATTGCGAAATTCATCTGCTCATTCAATTTTACCAACACTGCTTCTCACAGAGTGGCAAAATATACTAATCATGTCAGAAACAAAGGTCGGCCCTTGAATAACTCGACGACAGTTCCTTACTCAGACTTCGATTACTTCTCTTCTACCCCCATGGTTAAAATGGTTTGGAATGATCAACCGCGAGTAATGGCACAGAAATGCAATTCAAATCACGTACCTCCTCTTTTTGCGCACAGGTGACAAGATAATGGGCAATCTCGCACCATGTCATGAAAATCTTTTAGACATTCCGTTGAAGTCTTGCCTTTACAGTCAACTTCTGGGTTATCTTCACAAATTTTTATCTTATAAGCTACGAACAACGACAACAACAAAAAAACCCAAGCTGTTAGTACGGTTGTATAACCCAGATATCACTGGTAATCTTTAAAGGCTTAGTTTCATGTTACGGTAGTTGTGATCATTTATTATCAGTACTATATTCCGATAGTTATCTGACCTAAAAATCATCAGAATAGGTAAGGATTCACGAACATTACTTGAGACAACTTTAGAAATTCAAGCCATTATTCTTTTAACTAATCTGTTTCATATCTGTTTTAAAGATTCTTTTTTTTTTTTTTTGATTCAATCCATCTATAGCGGATATCTGGCTGAAGTTATGGCTTTGTTTATTTAGAGATTTTTATTATTTTTTCTATTGTTATTTCTATCAGCTATTTGCATATTCCTTTATTTCTATCCAGTTATTTTTATGTTGCAATCGGGGTTTCTGACACGTATACTAGTTAACTTAGTCAGTGATTATCAATGTTTACGTTTTATTCTAAGAGCAGTGCATCCTTCAATAGTATATACGCCACACAGGTAAATAATGCTTTTACCTCGTGTTGATTGGCTAGTTATGACTCGATCAGCAAGTACTTTTCATCTCCGAGCAGTCGAAGACGAAATCGAGCGTCAAGAGTTCACTTTCCGACAACTTTTCGGTATATTGACGCTAATTAAATAAGTATTTTGGGGGTTTCTATGTGGTATATACTGCATAAATTATTCACCTCAGGGTCGGTAAAATTGATGGATATTTGCCTCCACTTCGGTGGATGATTGTTTATTATGGCACAATCAAGATACTAGGCTTTTAAGTTTTACTTTTTCCGTGGTATAAGCAATTGATTTCTTTCCCTGTTTATTTTTTTTCCAAAATAGACGTGACGTTCGCGGAAATTTCTGTTTTGAAGATTAGCCTTATAGTTTCCTACAGGCAAAGTAAGAGTGGAGTAAGACCTAGCCCCTATTTTTCAAGGTAAAATTGAGCTAATTGTATTTCATTTACCTTCTTTGTAAGGAATCGTAGACATCAAGTCAAGAATTTTCTGCCCCTCCTCATCTCTCTCATTAAGTGCATCTCCGCTTCCGGAATCACTTCCAGATCCAGAACCTGGCTCATCAGCGGAAGTAAATGCACCCTTTTGTTCCTTGGTTCCTAGAAGAGTGCGTGATATTTATTTACAAATATTTACAAATTGACATAGTTTCCGCTTTTTTTCACTTCGGGATGAATTCTACATGTTGTAATTCTCGTTAGCTAGAAAATTATTGTAAGGAAGATCTTTGATTGCATGACCAAAACAAAGGTTTCTAGAGACTTTTGAGTGTCACAGGGAAATCTTTGTCATCACAGTTAGTTAAGTCATTTTTCAATCATGCCATTACCTCATGAAAAAGTTTTTCGGCATCTCTTCCCAAATTTGTACCATTACTGTACAATCTGAAACGGTGAAGGGCATTCTCGAAACTTGCAGCAAAGTCCAATGTGTTATCATAGCCTTTTCCTTCAGCGGAAGAGTTAGTTTGACCCACTTCAGGAAAACTTTTCCTTTTTAAACAGTCGCCAAACTTCCCTGACCCAAATTAGCAACTTTGATAAAAAAAAAAATTGAAAAGAAATCAAAAAAGCAATCCATTTGGTTTTGCTCCAAGAAATTTCGACGTTTAAAGATCTCTTTAAATTTTGACGGTAGAATCGATTCCTTCGACAGTTTATTACTGCCGCTGGATAAAAAATTGATACCTACCAAGGACAGAGGAGGCGACTGTAAAGCCTATTATAAATAATGCGCACCAACCAAGACCGAACTTCATCTTCTATTTCGGCTCACTATCTGAAAACAAAGTATAGTTTATGTGACAAAAATCCTGAAAAAATAATCCGTCACTGTCAGACAAGATTACAACTTCGGGTTGTAAGTTGTTACCTCGACAGATTGTTCCTTTCGTTTACAAATGTTATCAAACAACGGTTAGAATGGGTTTAGCATGATAACGATTGATTGTCAAGGTCGAGGCTCGTGTTATCTTTCGAACTGAGCCATGGGGTTAGGCGTGTAACATAAACCAAGGCCTTATTAGTTCTTGCCATCCAAATTCAATCATTTGTCTTGTTTGTTCTATCATGGATGCTCGGAAATGCTTGTTTTGGGGGTGATTTTACCAAAACACTGCCAACCAAAGAAATCGAGGCAAAAAATCTGCCGGTGGAAGGGGAATAGAATCGAGTAAGTTTGACTACCCTCTTCTATTCATGGTTGTCTTTCGTCTATACAAAGGTTGCTCAAGAATTAATGAAAAAACTAACCCCTAGTCAATTTAGTGTTAACAACTGAGTTGAAAAAATAAATTACCCACCGGAAAGAGTTAAAAGGCTAACGTTTTGAGCGTTAGCCCCTAGTCCCCCCCTGACGAAGGGATAACGCTCAAAACGTCAGCCTTTCAACTCTTTACGGTAGCTAATTTACGTTTTCAAGTCAGTTGTTAACACCAAATTACCTGTTATACTCTCCCACTGACGAAACTTAACCCCTTAACTTTTTGTCAATTCTGACTAAGCGGACAGGCAGACAGGCGGACAAGTAAAACGCTAAGCTGGATATACACGTGGGTTTAATAAAGAGAAATGAGCGAATATAACAAATTAAGTTACTGTGATGTTTCGAACGTTAGCCCTTTGCCTTTTGTAAGGCGTCGCAATATTTCTTGAGTTCGCCGTGTTGGTGGACCTATCTTCATGATTCCATCTTAATCTTGAGCTCCATCAAGTGTTTCACAATTGTATCTAAATGTAAGCGATTCATGGAAAGGTCTCCTAGCTTTAGTTAAACAATCAGGAGCACAAAGCGATACCACGAAAAATATTAACATTACACCAACGATTGCAACTTAATATAAATCGAATGACTTTAAGATGTTTATCCTTTTTGTCTTCCCATTGATAGGAAGATAAAATGAAAGGTATCTTGTTAAAAGAAAGACAAAGGTCTATTTAAGCAAAACCACTTCGACTGTAACAAAGAAAGCCTTTCGCGAACAAAACAGTAATGAGTTGTTTACTCATCGCTTTAAACTCAAGGGTTTTAGGCCCACCCCGAAACTCAGCCAGTAAATAAAAATGTTTCGTTACACTTACCTTTTTCGAGTTGTCTCCCTAACAATTAACTCGTAAAAATACTTCTTGGATGGCAAATTAATTTGCGATAGGGGAATATGACAAATAGCTAAAAAGAGTTTTGTCTATCCAAGCATATCAAGAGAGTAATGGCCATGGCATGCAGGTATTAATGGCCGACAGTGATCACTTTTTAATGTGGGAACCATGAGACTCTAGCGCTCTGTTTTAACCTCTTCTTACCTAATGTCATAGACTCGACGAAGCGGTAAGTTGAAAACGTCTAAAAGTCACTTGAATTAACGTTAAACAAAAGATTTTAATTGAAACCTGTCAAACCTGCATTGCCCTGAAGTCAAGTTGTCACGTATGGTTAGCGAGTGAAACAGAATTCTCTTTGGACAGGTATTTGCTCAAAGTAATCGCAATTGATAACAGCTTTGGACTACTTAGTTAATGCCATTATTTCCGCAAAAGAAATTTTTCCTTAAGTTTGCTTGCATTTAAGTTATAATATTTAAGACTGTGCTATGCCTTAATTGAGCGGGAAGAGGCGATTATAAAGGTCAGAGTAATAGCGTCATAAGACCGTGCGACCGGTAACTTGCGCGTAAGAGGCAGGGAAAAGTCGTATTGATTTGCGCGAAAGAAGCAGGGAAAAGTCATTTTGACAATGCTTTTCAGGTAAAAAGGAGTATTTTGGTAATATTGTTTGTCCCTAGGATACCAGTTTCTCCAACAATAAGTCCACAATATTTAAACTGGTTTTAGTTCTCATTCATCATTATATCTTATATCCTTGAAAAAGTGGCAGAGAAATCTTTTGAGATCAGTTTGTCTCTTGAGCTTTTCGCTTGTTGTCTATGGCCCTGGGGTGTTTATATAAGAAAATCGTTCTCTTGTTTAGAGTGTGGGAAATAACATTTCTTAAGGACATAACAATTTCCGACAATATTTACTGGCTCGTGGCTAAATGCATTTTCAGTATCATTTAGGCAAATTTCAGTAGTTTTCAAAAGAGAAATGGTATGGTTAGAGTTGGAACAAGATTGCACTTGCTGTTCTGATCAATCTACGCTGCATAAAACAGAATAAGTCCTGAATCAATTTTTCGAGGCCACAGGAGTTAGAGGTGTTGGTATTTTTCTATGGCAGTGTACCACGTTTGATTTAATTTCTTTTATGCCAGGTTTTTATTATCGTTATAGATCGTACTTTTTTTTCTCAGATCTTCCTATGCATTTTAAAGCCGCCCTCCGAGGTTTACCTTCTTGCAATACCGTTCAGGAAAAAAAAAATATAACTACCTGTGTCACGTATTCGGATCAACCAGGTATAGTCATGTCAGTCACTACATGTAACATGACTCATCTAGTCTCTCCCTGGGGCACATGTCCGTGATTTATGGCGATTTCTTTCTAATAAAGAGTCTACAGCGAACAACCTCTGCATTGTCAGTGATTTGTCTGGCTTTGGTTTTCAGTTACTGTTTTTATTGTTTTCTCTTTTGTGTTCATTCCACTTCCGTCAACAACTGAACACAGAGGTAAAGCTGACGAGAGTTGAGACCGCATAAAAAAATTTTGTGCTTATCCAAGCTGAAATTTAGAAAAAAAAATTCGATTAATGTTTTCCACTCAGGAAGCCAGCTTTGCCTCAGGGAGCCGGTGTTAGGGAGGTAAACTTAGGGATAGATTAGAGCTCAACTCTCTTCCCAGTCCTCATATCCTCCTCCTCAATTTCAAAAGAATACTATTCCTCTCTTCTCGGGCCTAAGGAACAAAAGCAAGTAGTCATGAATGGATTGTCGCTGAGCTCGGAACAGGGCTTTTGATATTTCAGATCTCCAATTTAGTCTCTGAAATGAACGGCCATGTAAACCACAGTTCTACGGAACATGCTACATTTTATTGACGAGGTGAGTGAAAGGTTTAATCTCTTGATTTTATTGAATCTAAAAAGTCATCTTTAATTTTTTTCTTTTTAAATTAAGACATGTTTGGCTTGAGATGCAAATTTTATCTCTTAACAAGAGAGCAAAAAAACTCATTTGATACCATATGCCGTTTTAGATTTCTCTATAGTACAACCCTGAAATGAAAAGAAGAAAAATCATCTGTATAAAGCTAAACTTTGCTTTGAGCATGCATAATCACGATTGTATAGGTCAAATTAACTACGTTTTGGTTGTTCATATCACATTTAGTACAAAACATACCTCTGGAATTTACATCTGAACCGGTTGATATTCCTGTCTACTATTACACTCATTTACAATTTAATTTCCAAAGGCATTAGCTAAAAACAGTAACATAGTCAGCAATACAATGCAAGCTCACCGATATTGGTACCTTTCAAAATGTTTTATGACGTGGAAATGCCAAAATCTTAACTCTTTTCTCTTTCCTCTGTCTTGTGTATTGAACTAATTTTGACTTATAAATGATCCAACGGCCTCAAACCCCCTATCAAATTTCTCAACTCCGCTTCGCCGTTTTAAGATCAAAACTACGTTTAACTTAATAAAAGGAACCAGACAAAATGGAAAATAATTGAGCATCAGGAAATGTCTATTTATTACTCTTCCAAATTAGATATTTAGGCTACCCCTAATGCTCTAATCTCCACTCCCAGAGAACGTTACATCGTCCTCATACTGGTTACCACCAGATGAACTGGATTCAAAGTCACCACTTTCCTGTTTATGAAGCTGACTGCCACTACGGATGTTATTTTTGGGAAAGCCTTGTTTGACATTGTCCTCCCGTCTACTTCCATCTGAGCTGGTCTCATTGTCATCAATTTCCTGCGCTGAATGCTGCCCGCTCCCAGAAATGTCACTTTCTGGAAAGACCTGTTTTACATCGCCTTCTTGAGTACTTTCAGGACTGTTGTACATTGATACATCATTTTGTTCTTCTGAATCCATCTCTTCGCCACTTCCAGAAGAAGACGTTACGTGTCCTTCCGTATTCTCGTGATAGTTTTCAAAATTCTCACCCGAAGTTGTTAGTTGGCTCTCGTGTGTTTTCGCGTGCTTCACTTCTTTATTACCTAACGGAAGCATTTCAACCCTCGGTTCGTGGCCACTTGAAATTTCATCATTCCCTGAAACTATCACAGGAACCTCTTCTTTTTGTTGACCATTTTCGGCGTCTAAATCCTCGTCTTCCTCTTTTTCTTCTTTCCATATTACGTCTTGACTTGATTCAGTCTTCTGAGCTGTTTGTCCGTCAGCCTGATTTTCTTCCGCCTTTTTTCGTTTACCATTCCATGTCAGACCACTGACGGCTAGTTGTGGAAGAAGAGAGTCGTAAGGTCGAGGAGGAGGAGCAGGGGCTGGAGGTTCGTTCAACTGTTCTTGTTTATTTCCGCCTGTAAAAATGATACAACTGAGGGTTTTGCTGTGATTTCTTGATTATCGTTATATTTTTATCGAGAAGGTGTAAGGGGAGATAATTAAGGGCAAATCTCACTTAAAGGGTCGCATTATCATTAACGCGTAAATCACAAAGCTAATTAGATTTTTTCGGATTATGCAATAGTTTCCTTTCTCTACGCATAACAAGCAACCGACAGTAAATTCTAACCTGCAAAATTGCCTCGCTAAGGAACTGGTTTAGCCGGCGTTCAGTTGAAGAAACGGAAGAGAGGTATATAATTGGAAACCGTAGAGACAATATTATATACGTACCTTGCAATATTGATGACTGATTTATGAACCCTTGTGAACTTGTCAAGTTTGTTAGCACTTGGGATCCGTTGATCTGTTTTCTTCCTAATAGAGTGTTGTTACCTGACTGAGCAGAGCTGTTCGTGTACAATGGAAAAGAAGGTTGGCGTAGCTCTGGGTGAGTCACATACTCATTTTGCTTTTGAGTCAGTTGTAACAGTTTTGAGTTCCACCATTCCTTTTCGAGAACCGACTTCAGGTCGGCAGGAAGCTGAGTCAGGAAAATAAAATATAAATTAGAATTAAACTGTAGATTAAAATTCCCTTCACATGCAAATCGAGATTTCACTCGAAATTGCAAAATTTACAATCTTAAAGTGTTTTTTTTTGGTGAAGCTAAATGATGCGTCCATGAGCGAGGCGAAGTCTTTCTCCACCCAAGACTGTCGATAAAAACTAGCAAACTGTCAGAAAATCTTAAAGAACTATGCATGGGTTTGTTCTCAAGGGGTCAAGGACGAATGGCAATATAGTACCGTACTACTAGACACTTCATTCCTTGGAAACTGAGACAAGCTCAGCAATAATGAACCAAAAGGCCTGAAATGCCAATTCATTTTTATGATGAGGAAAATTTCATGCACTTTTTCTTATGACTAACTCTGTCTATATCCAAGTCTTACCGATTCCAGTTCTGAATGAGGACGAATAGCAGCAGATGGCGGCGGTGGTGCAGCAAAATCAGTGACATTTGTGGCTGTTACTTGTGAAGTATTCTGAAAGTTGACTGTTATGTAGCGTTCTTCCATGGAATTTGCACCCATATAACCGAACTTTTGACAACTGTGCGGACATTTTTTAAGCAGGTCTGAATTTTTCTGGCACCAACCAGCTTTGGCCCAGATTGGACAACTGGGTTCCGAGTCACTCACTTTGTACTCGCTTTCTAAAGAAACAAGAATTAAAAACGATTGAGCCGTTTAATTTGAAATCGCAAAAACTACTAAGGGTAAGATAAATTATGCTATAGACCACGAACGAATCAGGGTAAGGCTTAGATTTGGCTGTCGTTCCGTTTTTAATTCTTCTGAGAAAGTTGCTTAAATCAGCTTCCTTCATCAATGGAAATGCAAACTAACGGACAACCTTTCGCAAACATTAATACATACTAATGACCTAACATTCCATATCCAAGTGTAAGAGATCTAGAAAGCCATCCAGTACTTCATAAGGCGAAGAATGTTTCTTGGTGCTACACTCCTAATCCGTATTCCCCAAAATACACACAGTTTGAACATATTAAATGAAGAAACCTTCTTCTTGTTATGAATGAAATACAGTACAATCAGTCATACTCCTGGAAAGCGTTCCCAGACGCCAGTTTTATAGTTTTTTAGAGGATAGAAAACATGGTTCTTATTGCTATTCTAAAAAGAATGTTCTATGATTTTCTTTGCGAAAAAAAAATTATTCACCGATTTATTACCATTTTGCAAGGAGCCCGCTAGGATCATGATATTAAAGAAACACCTTTGGATTGTCAAAAGCAACTCACCTGGACCACACATCTCGCAGCTCTTTTTGCAGTTCTGAGCCATGTAGTCTGGTCGCGTCGCGCATTCATTGTTTGACACCCATTCTGGGCAGTGCTGATCGATATCTTCACATTTGTCAGTATCTCCTAACATGAATTCAGCAAATTTTCCAAATTATTAAAACGTTCAAGAATATTGCCGAATCATTGACGATTAAACAGCCATTCATATGCATCATCCAAGGAGACGATAGAAAGGTTTTCAAGCTTGAGTCGCCCTTCCATAGAGGGATTAACCCCTCAAAAATTTAACCGTTTGGCCCTTACATGGTTAGAAAGCGTAGACTTGGTAATTTTTACTCCCCTTTTTTTAAATATTTTATATTTCATCTCGCCGCAGAGGTGTACATAGCTACCTAAGTCAAGGTTGTTCGTACGCACCCCACTTAAATCAAACCTATCATTCTTCAAATTTTTATTTCAGAGGAAGGAGGCAAGCCAATGAAATGTGTAGTCGAGGAATTGAGCGGGGACTAAGGAGAATCAAATCCAATTGGAGCAAACGAAACTTAAGTTGTTGTAAATCTCAGTAAACCAGTTGGATATCACGTACAACTGATTTTCTTTACACGACCGCTGCAGAAGAGTTGACAAGGGTGCAACCGAGAAGCAGATCTATTTGAGCAGGTAGAAGAAAAAAATATTTGATCTTGATTCAAGAGGTGAATAGGGGCACCGAGAAGAAGATCTAATCGAGAAGGTAGATGTAAAAACGTTTGACTGTTGCCACTTTCCAAGTCAAACAGCGCACAAAAATCACTCAGCCACATCGCCTCCTGAAATTACGCTCCTTGTCTGTCTACTACGTTGACGTCAGCATCGCAAGGGAAGAATATGTTATAAAATGTATCATGTCTGGTCCAGTGCTGGTCACTTAAAAAATCTAGTGCCTTATCGTTTAATAATATGATCGATTTATTACCTCCGGCTTTTCTGCAGAACCGGCAGCTCCATGGACATCTGTCAATCATGTAATGATAGTTGGACGCGCAGAATCCATTTTTAGCTTCTTTTGAGCACGATTTGACCCTATCGTAACACTCCAGTGGATTGATACGAACTACAGGGTCAATAGAATGGAAAAGAAGTTTTGACGTGACTACCCCATGTAACGATGCATATATAACGATGCATATATATATATATATATATATATACATATATATATATATGGTTGATTTAGTAAAAATGTCAATCATTCATCAAGAGTACAACAACGTTAACGATAGAACTCCAAAATGATCATCAGAGTCTGCTTACTGAGAAATTCAAAGATGAGCATCCATTCACGAAGAAAGGTTGTGAGTGTCGTTAACGACGAGAGACTTATGACGCAATTAAGCTAAATTACTGGGTTTTGAATATGTCTTACCTCGAGAGACATCTAATGCTATCGGGGCACCTTGCACGGCTTCTTTCGTACAAAGATAAAATACTGAAACAACCAAACAAACACGAAATATGCTAACTTTGAATATAACACGCAATGTAATAACGCTAATGTAAATGAAACTACTTGGGAAACTAGTCTTCTATTTGATGCACGTCCAAATGTTACAACATCCATGTGAGTGTTTTCCCATCAATTCAGTACCTCATTAACTAAACTGTATAGTTTTAAATTGTTGAGATTGCGTAGCTGAAACAATCTTGCTGATTAATAACTGAAAAATTAAAAAGAGATAAAATTGTAATCTGCCATAACATTCTGTTCTCAGCAGTGAAAAGGTAAGAAAGAAGGCAGTTTGTAATTTGAATAAGCAGTTGGTTAATCTCCTCGCCGGAACACATTGGTTTATTTACAAGTGGGTCTACCACAAGACTTTTGCTTACACCGTACCTGAGACAATGACATATAAAATGATAGAGAAGACAGCATTTTGAGTCTTTTGTCCGCATTCAACCATCCCGTCATAAGTTTCGTGGTATCTGAAGAATTAAATAAAAAGGTTTGTATAGAAAAAAGCTTACGTTCTATTTTATTTCCATAGCTGAGTCTATGTAAATTGAATTCTCATCGAGCAATTTATATATATGCAATTTTTTTATCAGTCATGAAATAAAATTTGAAAATTGTTCTTAATAAATTTAAGAAAAGCACGTATTAGGAGAAACGTTCTGGGGCTGGAAGCCCATTAGTTTATTTAGGAAGAGAAAACTTACCGTCTATAGCTAGTTTTTACTTCATAATTTGTAGAACACAAATCCACGTCGAATTGAACGAATCAATGAAAGCGGTCAGCCTTGCGTGGATAGATTTGACAGGTGCTACATATCACAAAACTGCAGTGTGAAAGAATTTATCGTTTTGAAATAGACTCCTCGTAAACATTTGTTTGGTGGAACCGTGGTGAAGTGCTAGCCTCTTACAAGCAATGAGTTGAAAACCTCTCTAAGTTTCTTGTTATAAAAACACAGTAAGCCAATTTTACCTTATATTTATTCCAAAATCTAGGCTGTGTTTTTCTGGGTTTTAATAACTCCTGCTATTCATGACAAATTATTTTTCTTTCTTGTTTATATTCATTTTTTAAAGAAAATGTTTAGATTCTATGAAAGCCAGCAACTAAGAACACGCCATGTTTTTAAATCGTTTATCGTGAAAGACGAAACATAAGAAAAGAGCTGAATTAAGGCCATTGTCCTGTCTTGTTCCCTCGATACTTTGATTTAAAACCTGAGTAATATAAAGTATAGGACTCTTACCAGAAAACGATTACCACGGTTAAAAGTTTCAACATCTTCAACTGAATGAAGAAAATCTTTGCTATCGTTTTTTTTCCATGTCGACAGGTACCTCGTTGGAAAAAACTGGTGGTTCAACTTATTCGGATATTCTTCCAAAGCATAATTCAGTCACACAATAAATATCAAAGTCTTTCCCTTTTCCAAGGAAATTCATACTGATGACGGAGACGCGCAGCTGTCTTTTGACTCTTGATCGATGGGGTCTGGACTTGAGCCCTAGACGACATATTGTGTTGTTCTTGATCAACACACATTACTTTATAAACCCTCACTCTCCCCTTTCCCCCCCCCCCCATGAGTACGAATGAGTACCATCAATGCAAATTAGTTCACCGAATAACCCAGGTTTGGAGTTGAAGGATGGGCGAATTCAGTGTCATATCCGCTATCGTGTAGCTTAAAGCCCTGGTGAGCTACGCAGAGTGGGCGGATAAGGAAAACGTACTTGAAGCCTGTGTGGAGAATTTAGATTACGATGCATATATCAATAAAGAACTCAAGGAAGAAATTAAGTTTATTTGAATTTATGCTTAGATTCTATTTTGCGAGTTTAAAAACGAAAAAAGGCGAACGTCTGAATTGACAAATACGTCTAGTGAATTTTTTTGAGCGAGACAGTGGAAACATAAGATTTAACTACATGTGCAAGAATGCCACTGAACTCCAGTTTTGTTGGTTGTTGAACGCACATAACAAAAATAAAAAAATTCTTCAGTCTTGGTGATTTATTTTTTAAAAGATAAAAGTAGTCTTTGAATCAAAAGACCATTCGTCTTGCTGTTTAGGAGAAATAAAAATGACTGATAGGAATATAGCATGATGCAGCCGATCATTCATTGAGGCTCCTGTATATTCAAGTGTAATAACTTAATACGCATGCCATAATCGAGCTCTTTCTTCATCAGATGCAAAGAGAAGTCGCAACACTTTTGCGTACAGCGTCATAAACGATTAGCAACTCATAACTGAGTCATTCGTTGGTGTATCGCCTGAAAATAAACAAAAATACTTCAACTGAGTCTCATGAAAACGTGTCTAAAAATAATTTGAAGCGATCGATGCTAAAAAGCTAAGCTTCACACACTTAATGAATACAGGAGAATGTCTTGCCACGGACGCAAAAAAAAAAGGCAAATTTCCAAGTTTTTAAGTTGATAAGTTCAAAATGCAGAAGGAGTTCACCAAAGTGAAAAATGAAGCAAAACCAAAGAATTCCAGATTACTCCAGACACTTATTCGAGGACTGCAATAGATAACACTTACGAGGCATATTTGATAAAAATAACTCTCTAAAGAGATCAAAACCTATCTTTCGAGTCTAAATATTAGGTAATTTCAAATGAAAATCATGAATTCCTTTATAAAGCTTCCCTCAAGGTTATAAGGTCTTATCAACGAAAAAGTAATTTTAATAAAGACCAAATGCATTTGAATACGACCGCATTTCACATATTAAAAAATTGCGACGGAAAACTCGAGGTTCGCGATAAAGCGGACTATTTACCTTAAAAAGTCTAAAAACTTATGCCACTACTACTTCATCAGCAGCCAGCTTGAGATCTTTTTTCGGCTCTACTTTCTTTTGCTCTACACCTTCCTTCTTGATAGTGAGTGGACCTTCTGTTCCTGGCCAAGGATGTTGAATGACATACGTTTGACCTCCCGGTTGCGCGAAATCAGATTGTGGTTCAGGGGCCGCGGGACCAGCGGGTCCAGCCGCCGGACCGACTAAGGAGTTTTAGAAAGAGAGATGTTGATGAGTGTAAGATACTTTAAAGCTATCTTAAATGAAACTGCATACAAGAATGTGACTGAAAACCCTTCGATGATAAACAAGGAACTTTAGAATAGTATCAGAGATTGAGTCCTTTAGATTCTGAATGAAGGAAGGAAGGCTAGGTGCTTCTAAGGAAGGCAGAAGGGGTATAGGAAGTTGGAGAGTTTGGTTGGTTAGCTCTATGGACGTAGGAAAGGTGCAAAAGAGGAAAGGGGTAGACGAAGATAGAAAAATGGTACAAGGAGCGGGGAAACAAATGATCAGACATATAGACGCAGGTGGAAGGTTGAAGGGACGTGATTGTGTGGCAGGGCAAAGACACTTTAACCTACCGGGTGCAGCGGGCTGAGCAACAGGAGCGGCAGGCTGAGCAGCAGGGGCGGCAGGCTGAGCAACAGGTGCTGCAGGCTGAGCAGCAGGTGCGACAGGCTGAGCAACAGGTGCAGGTTGTGCGGGCTGAGGAACTTGCTGGACTGGCGCTTGAGGTTGCCTATTTTGTCCATAATATTGTTGTTGCTGGTATGAAGGTTGCTGGTAAGGAGATGGTTGCTGGGCATAGGGATCTGAACCGTATGGATTGTAGGGTTGTTGGTAGCCAGCCTGTCCATATGCCGACTGTCCATAGGGTGGTTGCTGTCCATAGGGTGGTTGCTGTCCATAGGGTGGCTGCTGTCCATATGGTGGGCGGCCGTAAGGATTTTGAGCTCCATAAGGCTGGTAAGGTCGGTATGGCTGCCTAGGTGGAGGACGGCGGGCGTCAACGGGAGGTGGCCGCTTCAGCGATCCTTCTTTCTCTTCTTTTCCTTCTTTCTCTCCCTTTTCTTCTTTTTCCTCCTCTTTTCCCTCTTTTTCTTCCGTTGGTGGTGGTGGTGGAAGAGCTGGTGGCTGGGGAGGCAGAGGCGCCTGTGGACCTCCACATGGGGGTTGTGGTTGTGGTGGTGGGCACGGTGGCTGACCGCAAGGTGGCTGAGGTGGACAAGGAGGAGCACAAGGATCCGTAGTCATTTGAGGTTGACCGCAAGGCTGTTGCATCATTCCTTGTTGGCCATACGATGGCTGCTGACCAAATGATGGTTGTCCATATTGGGGTTGTTGTCCGTAAGGTTGCTGCCCATAGGGCTGTTGAGCGTAGGGTTGCTGCCCATAAGGCTGTTGAGCGTAGGGTTGCTGACCATAAGGCTGTTGTCCGTAGGGTTGCTGCCCATACTGACCATATTGTTGTTGCATGTTTGGTTGTGCACCATATGGTGGCCTTCCGTATGGCTGTTGACCAAACCTTCCAGCCATTGGCTGTTGTCCGTATCGTCCACCCATTCCAAAGGTGTCACCAAGTTTCTTCTCAGGGACGGGTGGTAAAGCAACAAACCCTTTGCAACTAAATTTGCAGTGTTTAAACATATAAGGCTGATGATTTGCTTTGGCGCAAAAATCAGAACTCTTCCAGTTGCTGCATCTGCTGTCGTCATCCATTAGCATTTCCCCTACGATATGTAAAATGTCCAAGGATTACTTCATGAACGTAGCAGCGAAAGACTAAGAAAAAAATGATTAGTCAGACCTCGAGGCTGAGAAAAAATTTGAGAAATAATTCTAATCCCTTTCCGTGTTCTTCGATCGTTTGTTACATGCTTTAGTTTCGGAACATATTTGCTTTTTTCGATATCGCAAACAATGTATACACGAGTGAGCTGAGCATGTTAAACGCATTTAAAAGATTACTGATGTAGATGGATAATAAAGAATTATTGAACCTACGACCGATTATAATAGTACGCTTAATCACCAAGATTGATAACTACATTAATTATACTGAAAAGCGCCCAAGCAGTTCAAGGCAATCTATGAATGAGGAAATAAATGGACGAATGAGTGCACTGCAAGAACAAACCAATTTTTATTTGCTTTTTCGTACCTGGAGAACACATTTTGCAGGCTAACTTGCATTTTCCTGACATGACTGAATGGCTTTTCGCACAGTAACCCAGGGGCGCCCATTTTTTGCAGAATCTCACATCCTTGTCAAAACACACGCTGTCTGAAGAACAAAAGCAAAAAGAAACCAAAACAAATCAAAGACTTGAACTTCTCATAACCATACCCTATTGCAAACTCTTGCATGTACGCGTCAAGCAACCTCAAATACAGAATTAACAACCAAAGCGTGTCATCTTGGTGTAGCACTAAATTAGGTCAGCCTTTCGCAACAATCACGTTTCAGGACTTGGTATTTTCATACCTTTTTGTGGCTTATCCTTCAATTTCGCAGCCTTCTTTTTTCCAACAGGCTTTCCTTGACACAAGGAGCCGAGTATCGTCAACAAAACAAAAACCACCGTTGATTTCATTGCCACTTGCCTTCTATAAAGAAAAAACAGCAATTGCTTATGAAGTATTTAGTCAGTTTAGTTAGTAAGTTAGTTAATTTAACAATTGCAAGCTAATAACTCCTCCAAACTCCACTTGGACAAGAAGAGTGAAAACTCCAAGCATTTGCGATAATCAGCCGAAAATTTATCTTTGGCGATTTAAATTATTCACATACAATTTTTGCAAAAGGAGAGTTGTCGTGAACAATCCTGGCGTCGGCGAAACTAGCGAGTACAGATGACTTACTGAGGACACTTGCCCGTGGAAATTTCAAGGCAGTCTTGTACAGTTACTTAGCTTTGAGAATTTACAGTTGCTGGCAGGTTTTTTTGTTTGTTTGTGGATACAAGCAATTTTCTACAAAAAACATACGACACAAAACAAACTTGCTTGTGGAAATTTAGTTCAGTTTTTTTTTTTAAGAGGAAACAACGCACATTTAGAATCTTGCTTGATTTTCAGAAGTGCACCATTTTAATCATGAAATTGATTCGGTACCAGACAAAATGAACTTGGATCATCATATAATTTCTACGGGATGGAATTCCTTTTTATTCTCTGTAACCCCTCTTTGGACCAAAGCATTTCAAAATAATTTGAAATGTTTTAGTAAGAAAATCTAGTACATGAATCCAATCCGCCACCGTCGATTAGGTTTGACAGGTAGTGTCACAATTTGAATTTTAAACACTTTTATGTTCACAATTGAACATTGGAAAGAGTAGTAGATCTCCGGAACATTTACTTTTTCTTTTACGTTTCACATGATTATTACTATAACGAGGTCAGAGTTTTTTAATATGGACTTAATAGAATCAAAGCAAGCAATTGACTCCTATATAGCATCTTAGGAAGGTTATGTCATTCACTTAATTTTGTCGAAATGGCCGAGAAATGATTGCAAGAGAACAAAGTAACGGTACCATCCGTGATATCGTGTATATTCTTGGTATTAAAGATATCTTCTCACCTTGAATACATCCACAGCTTTTTGTTCTAAAGGCCTTTTGCTTGTTGTGAATTTTAGGTGTCACTTTGGACCCTTCAGTAGATCAATGATCTTATGCAAACGTCATCGACCTTCTGGGGGGTAATTACTCAAAACCAAATTTTCTGCGACAGTTCCAATATTTTTCCAGAAGATGACTTTGCTTGCTCTTCTTTACTTTATCTTACTTTTATTTTAGGTGAAACTCAGTAACTGAGAGTTTCAAATAAGCGCCAAGTTGTGCGAACTGGGCATTCAACATTTCACTTTCTCAAACTTTACACTTGACTCTTGCAATAACTTATGCTCGAGTCTTCGAACCGTCAGTCCGTGATTAAAGTCCTGTACAGAAATTCTTTTACTCAGAAAATCACATAACACGATCGCATCAGCCGTCAAAAGCCAAGAGACACCGGGATGTTCAACAGAAAACATGTCCCCCAATGTTCTTTCTCTGTTATTTTGTTTCTAATAGAAAGTTACTTCCATCGTAAATGGAAGTAACGATGTTTGAAATACTCCGGCCACCAGCAAAGCATGTAAGGCGGTCAATTGCTCGTATCATTTCTACCAGTCAAGCACAAATTTGTCCTGTTTTCAGCATTGACGTTGCTTGAATTTGGGAATTTTAGACCCCAAACTTGCATGATTTCAATGCGAAACAAACTTAATTTTGACTATCAGTGTCATAATACACTTATGGGTTTAGCGTGACCTTATGAAGATGGTTGAAATAATCAGTCATTTTCCGAACAGGTACGGAGCGCTTTGAGTCCATATTATTTCATAAACGCAGGCCAACAGGAAAAGTTGTACAAACTTGTTAAACAAGGTCGAAAAGCGTAAATAGTCATTCATGTAAGGTACATCAAATTCAAAGTAAGAACCTTATAAGCTGGTTTTTGGGCAACATTTTGAGAGAGATTTTAATCAGTTTAAGTCTTTCAAACAGTTCATCAGACCATCACATTAAAGTAGTTTGACTGATATCAACCGAAGCATTTTTTTCGCATCTGCTATTCAAAGCAATAATCCATGTTGCCAGCTGAGTGCGAAACTCGCTTTAAAGCATTATTAGATGGAATGCCAGGGCGTTCTATTTTCTTTCAACTTATTATAACCTAAAAATTATTTCGAAGGCCAGAATAAGTATTAAAATTAAAAAGGCGAGAAAACGAAACAATCGAAAGCTCCATTTTGAAGTCGACAACTCCTTGAACTTTATCCCTGAGCACTGATGGCTCACTACTGCTAGGCAAATTTAACGATGTAGATTTGCATGTTGTACTCGGAGGGTTTTTTGCCCTTGACGTAAAAACCTTAGAGTGCCTAAAATAACCGACCCAAGCATGCTTATTGAAAAGCATACAAAGCGAAAGATTCAGTGAGCGATAGATGACCTACCTGATTTTTTGCGCGTGGCTGCGGACAAAACAAACTTGTTGCAGTCAAAATACTGCCGAGGCAATCTCACTGAACGAAGGATGCAACAACCCGTTTGGACATATGACCAGTAAATAATTAAACGAGAACAGAAGGCCACAAGCAAATTCCTAAAGGATCAGTAATTTTCGTCAAAGTTCACTGCATTTAAGCTCTGGCTTGTTTGGACGACTAAGCAGACAAGTTATTTACCTTTTCAAGTTATTCAGAACCGAGGAATACTTGTTTAATTCTTTAGGCTATGACTCATTGTTCATTGTGAGAAATGGAGTTCGAAGATATATCCCTTTTGCCGAATTGGTCATCGTTTTTATTTCTTACCTAGGCCTTATGGTATTTGCTGACGCCACCTTCATATCATGAAAATAATGAGAAGGAATTGAAATGTCAAGTAGATCCAACAATGACGGAATCTCGGTCAAACTACAATGCTATCATTAAATGTCCCTGTTTCCATAGTTTTTCTTCGCTCTCTTCTTTGTGAGATGAACTTTTTGACTGATCTACAAAAAATAATAGCTTCTAAGAGGTTTTGGAAATTTTAGCAAACAAGTACTTTGAAACTGTCGTAAAATTGAGAAATTTACTATTGCGTGGTGACGATTAGTTGTTTTTTTTCACGGGTCAATGAATTGAGAGCCACAAAACCGCCCATTTAGAAGTCAAAAGTATCCAAATGTTTTCCTCCTTTTCATTCATCGACTCAAAACGCTATTTAACGGTTGGACACCATTATTGAAGGACCTTAAACAAACCGGGGTCAGGAGAGCTATATTTATTCGAAAGAAACCTTCTACGACCACGTGATATAGGATTACTGGGACACAGAAAAAAACTCAGGCTCAACCCTCTCTCTGTTTCAGATGTCATAAGATGCACCATGTTCATGGCTGATTCTGTGCTATGTGATCGTTAGATACGTTACACGCTATTTATTTACCTGAACTGACCGAGCCTCGACTGGGAGATTTCATTTAAATGAATGCCCTTTAAGGTAAACAGCATTCTGTGTTACCAAATAACTGCAATGACAAAAAGTTATCATTAAAAAAAAGTACATGGCAGATCGTTTTACAGCGAAAGGAAGAATTTACAGCTACAAGAAATGTTTGTGTCAAGTTTGATAAACAGATACAATCCTGGGCAATTCCTTCTAATCTGAAGTAAAAGGCCCTTCAGTTTCCCTTCTCTTACACTGATATGTTCTCAGCAGTTTCCGTTCAAGCGCAGAAATGACCCTCGCAGCTAAACTACAATTTAAGCCATTGCAGAAAATTCAGGCTTCGACGACCTAAACACTTTTCAGGCTGAATTTTGAATGCGGTTGGGAGATCTAGGAAGGGAAAAGTATGACCTTTTTATCAATATACTGCATGCTTTTGTAAATCCTTCCCTTTAAATCTGGCCCACTTCTTCTTAGTGGACTTTCTGGAAGACACCTTTTCGAGCAAGGAAAAACAATTGGCTTTTGGAACAAACGGTTATTTCAATGTGCAACATCGATTCTCAAATGTTTGAATTATTCCGTTTTCAAGTTTTATTCATAGTCTTCCTTCAACACACTTAGAAATACGGACTAAAATTTCTAAAAAAAATTGAACATGCTTCATAAGTCAATAAGTTTTCATAGGATTGTAATATGTCTGTCATCTCCAGCCGGCTGGACAAAATTGTAAACATGAATCGAATGTTTTCTAACAAGGAACTTTCATTATCCTTTATTTCGGCTTCATCGGTTTCCTGGCTTAGTTTCTACCCTGTGTTGTAAGTCAGCCTCACTTCAGCCTTGTTGATACCGTTTTTGGTTTGCCATTGTGGCTCATTAGATGCTCTCCTTTACTTGAGCTCTATCTTCATTTTCCCTTGTCTTCTTGTGGTTTTTGTTCTTTGCTTCACCTCCAAGATTAACGTTCAACTCTTTATGGGAATGATCTTTCTTTTTTTTTTCGTTCTTGTTCGCCATTTTATCTACATTCCCTCTCTCCTCTGTAGCAGTCCATTTGGCAGAATCATCTTTTTTATTATCTTCCATTTTGGCCATTTTATCAAGTTTCTCTGTCACTTCTACAGCAGTTTCTTTGGCAGAATCATTTTTCTCCTTATCTTCAATTTCGGCCATTTTATCCACTTTCCCTTTATCTTCAGCAGCAGTCCCTTTGGCAGAACCATGCTTCTTATTCCCTTTCTTTTTGACCATTTTATCCTCTTTGCTTGCCTCCTCTTCAGGAGTCTTTTTGGCAGAAACATTTTTCTTATTCTCTTTCTTTTTGGCCATTTTTCCCATTTGGCTTGTCTCCTCCGCAGGAGTTACTTTGGCAGACTTTGACTTCTCAGGTCCCTTCTCTCGTTCTGTTGGTCCTCGAACTGTTCCGGGCTGAGGCTGTTGTAAGACTGGTTGATAGATCTGACCTGTAGTAGAACATTGAATTACAGGCTTGAAACTGGCCTCTGGATCCCTAGTTTAGTAATGCCGAGGTTCAACCATAGCTCAACAGACCCGCTGCAAACAGTATTTCCTCTTCATTTTTAGCGAATACCTCGCATATCCATCATACCCTATATTAGATATCTTAATGTAGTTCCTAATGAAGTCCCATTTTAGTCCTTGTAATTAACCTTAGAGTTAACCAAAGTAATTAAAATAGGTTGCGCAAAAGTGTGAAAATATTCATCCTTTGACTCGTTTTTGACTCTTCGTTTGGGGCCATCACAGCCAGATATAAATAGTTTTCCATTTGTAATCACTAGAGATCACATTTTCTTTTTTACCTCCATATAAGGCCTATAAAACAATAAAATTTAACCTTTGTATATTCAAAAACTATTTTACAATCCTGTATAGTTTGCTGAGTCATATGGTTTTACAATAAATATGTACCCGTGTTAACTTGTGCCTGATTAGGGTACTGAGATACACCTGGCAGAGTGAAGGGTTGCTGAGCCTGTTGTTGCACAGCAAGGGCCTGGGGTTGAATAGCTGGATTCATTTGGGGGGCTGCTTGTTGCACTTGAGGATAATTTTGGGCAGTCTGTACTGCAGGGTTCACTTGAGGAAGTGTTTGTTGAACTTGAGGTTGTACTTGTTCAGGTTGCACCCCTTGGTTTATCGCAGGAGGTGTTTGAGTCTGTGTTTGTATTTGATTGGTTTGTGTACCTGGGTTTACCTGCTGAGCGGTTGTGGCAGGAGTTTGTGGCTGCATGCTACCAGGCTGCACCACGGAGCCCACCTGACCAGCTTGAAGAGCAGAATTTAATTGTGGCTGAATGACCAGGCCAGGCTGCTGGGCTTGCGGCTGCAATTGCGCTGTTTGCTGTAGCTGCCTTTGAGGAGCTGTCGGGAGCTGTTGAACATTTGGTAGTGCGGGATAATTAGTAACTGGTTGTTGAGGTTGCACTGCCCCGCCTGCTTGCTGTAGCTGCGTTTGAGCAGCTGTCGGGAGCTGTTGAACAGTTGGTAGTGCGGGATAATTAACAACTGGTTGCTGAGGTTGCATTGCCCCGCCTGACTGCACCTGGGGTTGCGCGACTTGTGCTGATACTTGTTGGTTAGTATTAGCTCCTTGTGGTTGACTTTGAATATAGCTTTTACATGTATGCGGACAAATACTTCTCCATTCCCAGTCAGTTCGACAAAGATCTTGTTTAGGGTTGCACTCACTGGTTGTGTCCATAACAGTATTACCTAGAAGACAAAATTAGATTGAAAAAAAATAGTTCTTCATGGGCTTAAGACAAGTAAAGAATTTCGTAAGTGCCCTATAAGGATTTTTTTTATTCGCGGTTGGGTGCTCTTCAAGATCGGTACTATAATCGATACCTTCTTTAAAAATCTCATGTGCAGATAGTGTAAGAAAGATAATAACGTTAGAGTACGGTTGATTGAAGAATGATACCAAGAATTAGTATGTAACACACAGGTGCACTTTGTTTGCTGGTTCGTTTGTAATTATCACTATTCACCTCCGAGCAGCCAAAGATACGAAATCTCGCGTCAACAATTTACTTTCCGACCATTTTTTGGTATACTGACAGAAATGAACCAATTTATTTTGCTTATGTGTGGTAGATACTAAAAAAATTAATCATCTCGTCCTCGGTAAATAATTGTTATGAGCGAACATCAGCATTAGACACCTTTTGGCCGCCTCTATAAAACTAAGCCTTGAGAAAGCATCCTAAAATTCCAAAAGTTGACCACTTCGGGAAAATGACAGAAAAGGTCCCAGAAACCAAAAAGGTCTGCAAAATGACTTTTGACCCATACCTGGAGTGCACATGGCACATGACAGCATACAGTTCTCTGTCATGTACGCATGTTGTAAAAGGCAGCCATTGCGACTCGCTAAGCTTGCACAATCTTGCTCCTTGTCAGTGCAGATGTACTCTGTAAATGGCAAAAAAAACAACAAACAAACAAGCTGGTTGAACGATGACTCACTTTTATTTTGTGTGTTTTCTCAGAGGAGAAGAGAACCTCACTAACATGGTCTACTTTTCAAAACCAACTGTTCTCAGTACGAGCGAATTTAAGCAGAAATTAACATCGACAATAAACAATGAAAGCACACACGCGCACCAAGCTCTTTGGGTCCACTATCGATGTCGTCACTGCACGATAAGTCGTGAAATTTTTTCACTGAAACAACATCAATTTAATGAAGTTGTAAAACATGGGGACGAGGAAATACCCACTAAAAAGTTTTACAGTTCATCCTGGTGGAAATATCATGGGGCGTTTCAACTGCCTGAAGCTAGTACAGGTAGAAGCCATACCCCACCATCGAGATTCTATATCCCTTACAAAGTAAAAGGTAACTTGCCTCTGCATGTATGTGGACATACTGTAGTCCATTCGTTTAGTATACAAAGTTCCTCCTGGCGCTTATCCAGCTCTACAGCACATTTACTTGATAAATCGAACACAGGATCACCTAGGGAGTAATATGAAAAGATTAATCATGGATCAGCTAGGAAGGAGAATCATCACTGAAGATTCACAGTCAGCACAATGATACTGGGTGGTACAGGGTTACGGGGATCTGGGCTGTGCCTCGTTTATGTTGGTGTTCGCAAGTACTAATATTTTCATTTTCTCTGTTGAAATGAGGACCTGTGCAAGCGCAATTTCACGTAGAGTGCATTTTAATCGAGAATCGCAGAATTTTATAAATCGAAGAAATCTCGATGGCCAAGTAGAGCAAAGATTAACACCTCAAGGGACCGATGTAAGCACATGCAATCTACCTAAAGCTCAGGAAAACGCTCTAACTAATTCGCGAAAGGAATCACTTTAGCCTCTGATTGGTGGCGAATGAGTGGTAGAGGTGTTCATAACCAATCTCAGCACAAAGCTTCGGAAAGTCAAAGCAATCGAGGATTGATATTTACAGTCAGTTCATGAAAGAAACTTTGAAACGAGGCTCACCCACCTGGATGACACATCTGGCAGGTTAGCTTGCAATTTTGGCTCATGAACTGAGATCGCGTTAGGCAGTACAATTTGAAATTCTTGCAACGTTCTGGCTCAGTATCAAAGCAAGATTCCACATCTAATGAAAAAGGTTAAAGAGCACAATTAGAATTATTCTTATGTGCTCTCAGATACCTTTTGCAATCCACAAAGATACTTAATTGAAGTCGGTTCTATTTTGGGGCGGGAACCAAAAAATGGCATAAAACGTAATCAAGTATTAGTTTATTATACCAAACATATATTTCAACGACAACTGGTCTATTGAGACACTTATAAACCCGAGTCCTATTGAACCTTCTTTCTTCACTCCCTCTACAACAACTCTTAGCATTGAGAGACAAATGATGCAGAAGACGACCTTATTCATCTTGGTTGCTGCACCGGCCTGAACTATCTGCTAGAATTGGCCCAACAACTGAACGACTGCTTTGGGAATCTTATTCACCAGTTTGGGATTATCGTAAATTCTTTCAAAATGATTTCACCTGTGCGTCTGTTCAGTTATAGATTACAGATGGCATTAAAATGTGGTGAACAAAAAAGTGGCACATGAAGCGCAGTTGAGTATGTTACAGATGTTCTTACCATATTATGACGTCTTTTGTGATCTTTTACCGAACAGACCCACAGCAACTTAGAATCAATTTGTTTTTTGCAATAAAGAAGAAAATTTTTTCAATGTTGATGTCATATATGTGTCTGTCTTCCAACAAATCGTTTAAATTGTGATAATCGTGTTTTCTTTCAGAATGATTTCACCATGTGAGGATTACGTATCTTATTCAAGTTTAGTACTTACAGCCGTTTGTTCTTCGCGAGTTTGGCTTTTTATTCACGGTCGTGGACACTGACTTGCAAACGAACAGCAGAGGCATGTACAGAATAACAACTGAAAGAACGCATGCGAACTTCAGAAGTAAAAGCATTGCCCTGTTAAAATTGTTAGAAGTATAATTTACCGATTAGCTTAACTCACTACTAAGAGAAGTACAAGGAGTATCTCATGCGATCAGGATGATCTGGTGACCACAAATTTCTCATTCTAGCGACACAGTAGTTCTATCAGTCTAACATCATTCCAGGCAAACTAGAAGCCCTGCATCCGAAGATCTCATGTGTCATAAATCCCGACGATAAATTCACCTTCAACGTAATCGTCTGTTGTAAACACCAACCAATCAAGAGCTAATTTATTAGACAAAAACTCAAAGAAGCGGTTATGCTTCGATAACGCCGTTACAATATTTAATATTGAGAGCTTACTCAAGCGATAATTTGATGTTGAAGTTAACTGTTCCCCAAATCTACAAACTTTACGCTTGCAGTTTAACTTTTGACCTTTAATAAGTAGATCATCATAAAACCACTTTATAATTATGCGTCGCTGCTATCTCACGACGCGATGGAGCGATTCAGGTGAGCGCAGACCGATGAGAGAATTTCATCCAGAACTCTAGGCCTTCAAGTAGGCTTCTTCGGTTCCATTCCAGGTCTTGGTTGGTTAAATTTTGTTTTAGTTTATCTAAAAGTATCAATTTCGTACCTTGATTGAATTAAGAAGACATCTGTTTCAACTGGTGTTCTTGAAGACAAAGGCTGTTAAACTAATCATTGAAGTAGCATTTCAGCCTTTGTTAACGGCTTTTCAACTGATGTAAGCACATTTCTTGCAGGTCAACTAGCTAAACTGTACTCACCTTATATTGTTTATAGGTTAATTGAATCGTTTCGGACATCCTACTCAAGTTTTCATAACAATTGACGCCTCAAGGCAATTTTGCTTAATTTTTTATTGCTTGCGACCTAAACCACCGGTTTTTTAGCCCTCGGTAACGTGAACTGTAACCTGTTGAAACAAGTCGTAGAAATACAGGAAATTATGGTTAAATCAAAGGTTATTCCTATGCAAAAAATTGCGAAGTTAACAACAAAAAAAGAATGCGGCAAAGTTGGTCGCATTTTCTTTTATTTCCACATCCGTATTCTAGGTTTCAGTTTGCAACTACTGACGAATTGAGTTTTTTCAGCTGTCAGCAGAGTAAATTATGACCTGTTGAGACAAGTCGTAGAAACACTGGGATTAGTGGCTCCATTGCAGGTCATCCCCCCTGAAGAAAGCTGTAAATTACAATTCATATTTTGGATAAAAAAGAAACACCTTCACTGATTGAAAATTATTATAACATGAGCTGCTCGGCACCTAGTCACAAGCCTTTGATATAAAAATATATATTAGCCTGTGATATGTAATGTGTATCAAAGACTTTCATATATATATATATATATATATATATATGATTTTCGTACTTTCTCTGATGTTTGTTCGTCACTTGACGGGTTTATTACGAGCCAACTTAATGACCAGCTCCCGGTTGGCTGGTTGACTCAGTTGGTAGAGCGCTGCACCGTTACTGCAGAGGTCATGAGTTCAAATCCTATACAGGCCTGAAACTTTATCAGGCCTTTAAGTAGTGTGCATTACTGCGAAGATCGCTTTCATGTTCATTTCTTAATACGAAGTTCACATATATGATTTTCATATATTCACATTCACTTTCAGACAAAATCGTTTATACTAAAAGACGAAAGTTTAGATTTCCCAGCTTCTTTTTACTCAAACGCTCTTTGCAAGAATATGAGTTCATGCCTCCTATTCTTCCGAGGCAGCCACTTCCAAAGTGTCAGTTGTGGCCCACAATAATCTTTGCACCGATTAACAGCCGACCCGGGGGAAGAAAATTTGACAGCCGCGAGAATATTGTCGTCGAATGTGGTCGCGACCTATGATAAACACGCAACAATTGACAATTTGACATTAACCGACGAACAATACACGACCAACCAACCACTGACAATGGTAGATAATCGATCTAAAAAAATCCTCCGAAGATATTTCACAGAAATCGATCGATCCCAACAAGATAGGTCTTCAAGAAAACCCGAATGGTTTGAAACGTTTGCCGTTATAGCCTCACGAACTTTTTTTTCATTTTCTTTCATGTCTCAAACGCCCGAGCACGACCGCTAGGGGTGATGGGTACGCCCGTCTTCGCACTCCTTTTGCCCTAAAATGTAATGGTAGTGCTCAAAATTGACCTAATCTAAACTTAGTTTAAGGTCTGCAGCTTCCTCTAAAGATATTCCTCTGTTTATTTTCCAGTGTCAGGATTTAACAGTCAACCTCGGTTTGGTTTATTCTCGATTAAGGTGTGCCTTTGGGATTTCGCGGTTTTGTGAAGTTTTAGTTCAACACATGCATGGGATGAAATGGAATGAAACGAAAAGTAAACACTAAACTGTATGCAAGACAGTTACATGAAGCAAAACTTCAAGGAACTAAAGACTCTTCTAACCCAGGATTAATCGTGGACGAAGTGTGAATAAAGTCCGATCATCGCTTCAACAAGTTAATTACTAAATATAAAAAAAACTTTGTCATGCTGCCCAAAAAACACCTGCTTCGAATTTTTTTAAATCGTTATCATGTCAAAATACAAATGCACGATTTTGCGGTCTGCTGATCAAACATGCCGATTTAAAATGGTAGAGACTGCACTCAGGTTTTGGGAATTACCTCACGACTGAAGAGATGGAAAACAGCGAAACTTCTGACATCTGCATAACGCAAATTCGCCTGTTTTTCTTTTTGGTTTCGCAAATTGAATGTAATATTTGACGTGCAACAAGAAAAAAATGAAATTAGACATTTTATATTACATACTGTAATCCACAATGTTACCCAAATGTTTGCATAACTTAAATCTTAAGACAATACCTGAATCTATGAGATTTTAAGGAAAATATTTTATCTTCCACTATAACCAAACACGATGTTATTTCATTTCACATGTTTTATGAATAATAATTGTGCTCTGAGCCTCAAAGGATTTCGTAAAACGTACAGAAGTCAGCACGACGGCTTCGGCGTCAGCTAAAAGGTATTGCATCTATGGACACTTGAGATCAAATCATCCGTTTTAAAAAGTGTCAGTTCTCTAATGCGGCTTCTTTCATATGGAAATTACCCGGTGGAGAACATCTGTATTTAAAAAGTGAATAGGCAGAGTCATTGGTGGACGGTGAATTTTAAGTCGGCGAATTATAATTTTTGGTTTACATTGTTTACAACCTAAATTGAAACTTTTACCTTGAAACAATGCGCGTCAATGAATTTTTGGTTGAATTTTTTCTTATTATTTAAGACAAAAACGCTTGAATTCATTCTCTCCTTGCTGCCAACGACCGTAATGAATTAACTGCCAATCTCTCTAATATTTCCAATGCAGTTTGTTTTTGTCTCCTCTGACGGTTCAAATGCAAATTAGTTGGAGGTGGATAGTCACCTACAAGGAGATTAATATGCACCCTTAGACAAGCCT